ATTCATCCCATCATGAGGACGAACCTCTCATGAGCCAATTACCTTTTTTCCCTTTTGAGACAAGGTCCTGCTATTTGCCTAGGCTGGCCTAGAACTCTCTATGTAGCCCCAGTTGGCCTTGAACTTGTGATGCTCTTACCTCTCTGCCTCCCAAGTGATGGAGTAACAGGAATGGACCACAGGGTCTCCTGAATTCTAAACTGGCTTCAAATTTTCTGTATCTAGGATGACCTTGAACTTTCAATCCTCTGGCGTATACACCTCCACAGTGCTTCAAGTGCTGGAATTATAGGCATGTGCCAGCATGCCCAACTTCTAATTATCGCTCAACACAGTTATACTGGAAATTAAATTTCAACCTGCATTTCAGTGGGAGCAAACCACAACCAAACCATGGCAACAGGCCTGTTTTATAAAGAAACCAGCGCCTGGCTCCTGGATCACGTCACAGGAACAGACAGACCTGGAAGCAGAAGAGGACTTGGGCTTAGCTGGTTGATATAGGCCTCTGGGGCCAGCCTTGGAGTTATAGCTTGGCCCCACTTCTAGTGAGAGTCCTGTTTCCCACGTGCTGCTGTGTGATCAGCTGCCTCACACTCCCACCACCATGGACCAAACCAGTCACTATACCTCCCTCCATGATGGACAGACAGTACCCCCACAACTGTGGGCCCTTAGGTTGCTCTGTCACATATTCAGTCTCAGTGACAGAAGAGTAACTAATATTGCCCCACTGGTGAACTTCTTACTCACTCACGAACCCAAGCATTCATCCGGACATTTCTCACCACATGCCTAACACACAGCGGGTGCTGAGGATACACATGGCTGATGAACACAGCCATCGAGAAGCACACAGAGCTCCGTGGAAGCCGGACAATAAGCACGTGACTACAGCTAGGAAGTCCTACGCAGGGTGAGCCAGAAGTTGCCCGGCCAGGGCATTTCCATTTTAGAGGCCTGTGCAAGTTCACCCAGTGGAGTACAAACGGATGAGAGGCGTCACTTCTGGGTCTAGATACATAAGTAGGCATGCTTTTCCTTTCTGCCAAAAGGCTGCATTAGAGAACTCTTAACCCTATGACAGGGCTTGGCAAACGGAAGACAGCCACATAAATTCATTACTCTGCTATCTATGGCTGTTCTTCTGTTGCAGTGAGACTATACCTCCCACAGTCAAAGACACTTACTACCCTTTAAGAAAAAGCTGGCTGAGCCCTAGGTGGAGGAACAGGACAGCAAAAGCCCAGGGCCCCTGAATTGACAAGTATAGGGGACCCACTTACCCACCTACAATACCCATATTCGGCTGCGTGCTTGAGAGACAAACTCCCAATGTTTTGCTCAAGCTGGCATTAGCCTAACTCATTTGGAGAGTAGGGCACACAGGTCTAGTGAGAAACACAACATGGATGGCCAAGGTTGGACTTAGGACTCTTCTTATCACATCTGAAATTTTGTCACTGTTGACAAGTGTCTTCAAATGTCATTATCTTTAAAAATGATCCCCAAGGGGGAAAAAATTACCTCACTCAGAAAAACCAAGCTCCTGGGTTATTTACATTGGCAATCCATAGCCTACAATAAACACCCTTCTAACCAAAAGTAGTGTTACTTCTCTATAGGTGATTATTTTTAATTAATTAATTAATTTTTATTTTATGTGCATTGGTGTTTTGCCTGCATGTATGTCTGTGCGAGGGTGTCAGAAACCCTGGAACTGGAGTTACAGACAGTTGTGAGCTGCCATGTGGGTGCTGGGAATTGAACCCAGGTCCTCTGGAAGAACAGCCAGTGCTCGTAACTGCTGAGTCGTCTCTCCAGCCCATCTACACTTGATTTTAAAGGATTCATTTATTGTATTTATGTGTTTAGGCATTTTGCCCGCATGTATGTCTGTGCATCACATACATGCCTAGTATCCTCAGATGTCAGAAGAGGGCACTGGATCCCCTGGGACTGGAGTTACAGATGGCTGTGAGTTGCCATGTAGGTCTGGGAACTGAACCTGGATCCTCTGCAAGACTAGCCGGTGCTGAGCCACCTCGCCAGCTCCCAGTGTCCCCTTTTCTAAACAGCATGTTCAGCCAGTCCCTGAAAGCAGCAGTCACACCAAGCAAGAGTTCAGGCTACAATATAGTTACCCGTATTAGTAATGAAACCATTCTAAGCAAGCTGTGGGTCAAAGTGGAAAAGAATTATTCAGATTATTTCAACCCAACCCAAACCCATTGTGAGATATCAGCAGGATGAGAACTGGATCTGACCTTGAGTTTGGGAGGTAGGATCTTTGGAAGGTGACTGAGATTAGATAAAGCCACCAGGCTGGGAGCTCGGGATTGAAATCTGGTGGTTCTGAAAGAAGACATGGAAGACAGAATACATGCTCACAGTGGCCCCTGTCACCCAGCAATGATGCCCTATGTGCCTCAGCACTCTGCCAGGAAGAAGACCTTTCCCGATAACTCTGGGCTAGAACCACGAGTCAAATAACAACTTCTCTTCCCTCAAACTTCTAAGCATCCTGCATCATTTGCTTCCCAAATGCTGAAATGACAGGTGGGTCCCACCAAATCTATGTAATTAGCAACAGAAAACAGACTGACACACACACCTCAACTGCACAGATGTGCCTCCATTTCTTCATGAGCACAGACCCGAACTGAGCAGGGCTGGAATACAGTCTGAATGAGACAACACACCCACGCCTAGCACCCTACCTTTACTGTTTCACTCACTAGACGAAAGCAAGCCAACTGTAGTAACATTTAAATACCACTGCAGCGTCACCCTCTGGGTAGTTGGTAAACTGTCAACCCACAGCAGGGACTGGATCAACACTAGACTGACTCTACTACAATAAAATTTTTCCTAGGATGAACCAACACTTGAACGGTTGAAATCAAACGCTCCAGTCAGTCTGGGGCTCTGGGACTAACAAACACCATTTTTCTTTGCTAAAATTAGCACTAAGTCACCTAGAGCACGCGTAAATCAGGTAGTCATAGCATCGCCCTTCCAAGACTGGAGCCACCTTGCGTGAGTCATTTCACTCCACTCCACACAGTCACGCTAAGCAAAGGGCATCCCATCCTCAAGAGCCAACACCAGCTTCCTTTAAAAAAAGAAACTGTCTCATAACGAACTGCCATGGGGAAGAAGGAAAAGAGTCAGGCTGCAAGATAAATGGCTGCATTCAATCACACGGGACAGTGGGTGGGTCTGCGTGCGAGGTGCAGACACAAACTTCAGAACTGAAAAAGAAACCTAGGGTAATACATCAAATCAACATGGGTTCGATAGAGAATAATTTTTTTCTTTGAGTTCCCTGTGTCTTTCTCTTGGATAAGGAAGAAAGGTACAGAAACCAGAAAACAACAAATAAAATCTTGGAAAGAGTCCCCATCCTACCCCAGGTGTTCTGTTTTGTTTTTCGTTTTATAATAAAGAGAGATAGTGTTATCGTTTCTAGAGTATTATTTAGATAGAAGGGAAGAAAAATCTAGAAATTTAACAGAGACCAAACAAGCTACTAACTTGAAGAGCTACAGGTTATAATAAAACTGCTCCAAGAAAACAGAATTCGTCTTGAAGACCTATAAGGGAGGCAAGGGCTTCTCAGGCAAAGTCTGGGAATGAACTTTCTGCAGAGCTGTTCCATGGGAAGGGGGTGAGGGGTCACACTGGGCTCAAAAACCTGGGACAAAGAGAGTCCCTGTCTCATCGTGTGTAAAACTAGAAGCATCTAATGTCAACAGGAGATCGGTGTGGTTACCCTTGACAACTTTTATATAGCAGTGACCTTTAAACATTCCTGATTCTATACCTTATATAAGTATGTGTATAAATAACTCAGAAACTATATAAATGACAATTATAGCTTGTTTTAGATTTTAAATGTTTAACATATTGTGTGTGTGTGTGGTATGTGCACATGCATGTGTGTGCAGGTGCTTTCCGAGGCCAAACGCCTTGGATCCCCTGGAGCTGAAGTTAAAGGCAGCTGTGAACTGGCCTGACATGGGTGCTGGAACTCAAACTCAACTCTGCAGGAGTAACACCTGCTCTCAACCACGTCTCTCCAGCCCCAAATGGTTTTTTGCTGTTCTATTGTTTTGTTTGAGACAGGGTCTTACTATATAGTTATGGCCTGGAATTCACTCTGCAGACCAGGCTTGGCCTCAAATTACAGAGACCCTCCTGTGCCTGCCTTCCAAATGCTGAGATTATAGATGTGTGCCACCACCACGCCAGGCAACAACTGCAGTTTCATGCTACAAATTTTATGATGCATACACAACAGCCAGAAATAAGTAAATGTACAGAAATAAACAGAAATCCCACACCCCCAAAGATTATCCCAGAAAACCCACCCCGGAGGGAGACCCCAAGCCTGACACACAGCATGCACAGAAAGTGGTCATCTTCTCTCAGTGCAGAGACAAGCTGTCACCAACGGACGTGACCTGGTTTCTTTCCTCTTTGTCCTCTCCTGCAGTTCCATAAGCACTGATCCTGAGGCCAGAGTCTCAAAAATATATAAAATCCTGCCAAACATGGTAGTGCATGCCTCTAATTCCAGCAGTTAGGAGGCAGGGGTAGACGGATCTCTATGAGTTCATGGCCTGCCTGGTCTACACAGTAAATTCCAGGACAGCCAGGGCTACATAGTGAGACTGTCTGAAAAATAAGAATATAGAATCCTAACATTCAGCCAGGACAGATCCTCAAAATGTAGCAAGTGCCTGGCTACCTGAAGGATAGGCCTAAGTAGGAACTAGATAGCAGTGTCGCTTTCTGGGGCCATGGAGAACTTCAAAAAGCTACCTGGTAAACAGGTAAACATGATGCACAAGGCTTCCAGGGGAGTGTGGTTTCCTGGAGGACAGAGAGACTCCAAAGTCTTAAACATACCCCGATGCAAACACCTTTAGCCATCAGCTCAAAGACTAAGTTCACTCATTGCTAGCGTGCTTGCCAGTGGCTGGGGAGAGGCTTACCTTTAGTATTTCAGGCTCTTTGATGTCCAGGGATCTCGTGTTCCAGTGTCGCAGAGTTTTATGTGATTTGTGGTATGTATGAGCACTTGGTGGTGTAAAAAACCAGATCATGCAAACAGCAGTCATGAATCCAAGGCCAATGCCCAGGAAGAGTCCACTCATGTAGTAGGGGAGGGGGAGGATGAGGTACGCATAGACACACATTATAAAGAAGCCCAGCGTCTTCACTGGTAACTCCTGGAGCTGGGCGGCCGAGTCCGCTTCATCCTCGCTGTCCAGAACCACGCCATCGTCGGCAAGCACCTCTGGCTTGAGGGGGACATCTCGGGGCTTGTCAAGTCTCCCCTCGCCCTCAGTCTCCAGCTCAAAGTCCTCAGTGTGCAGTTCACAGAACTCTTCGTCCTCTTTGCTCACTAAGGCAGACAGAGAGCATTTCTCAAGAACGAGAGAACTTGTCTTCAGGCCTAAATCCTTCAGACCGCTCCCCTGGGAACCCTTGGGCTCCACTGCCTTCACAGCGTCCTCGGGGGGCTTCGGGTGGTCGCTCCTGGGGGTGTTGGAGTCACTGCCGTAGCCTTCCCCCTCGGAGTCACACTCCTCCTCCTTGATGCTGTAGTTATTGCTTTCCAAGTGCCCATTCAAGCTGGACAGATTGGAGAGTTCTGAAGCACTTGAAGATAAGGCTTTGGGCCTGTGGCTGCCACTTTCCTCCCCGATGATTTTGCTGAGGAGCTGGAAGGGCTCATAGATGACTTCGGAAAGGCGGCGTTTAGTGTCTTCGATTTTCGCCTCCATTTCGGGCACTTTAAAAAAGGAGCGAGTGTCAGAGGGAGAAGTCAGCGGGGAAGAAGGCGCAGTCTTGGAGTCTCCACCCGTGTTCCGTGGCTGTGTGAACTGTTTGAACAGGTGCAGATTGAGTTTGGAGTCAGGGGCCTTATAGGACACGGCATCCGACTCCTGGCGAGAAGTGTCTGTGGACAGGGACTTGACCAGAGTCTTCATCAAGTGCCTGTGCCGTGGGGGGTGGGGGGATTCTTTTGGCTCCACCTCGGTTGACAGGGACTTCACCAGGCTCATGAAGGGCTTCGCACTGGAAAGGGCGGAGGACGAGGCACTGGATGAAAGGATGGGAGACTTGGAAGGGGACGACAACGGGGACGAAGAACTGGTTTTCTGTTCAGAAAGGGATGACCCACTGGGAGAGCTAGCTAAGGGCCCGGATGAAGAGGACCCTGGGGACAGAGCCGGTGGCACTGTACTTAATACTTGTACTGCTGGAGCCGGGGACTCTAGCAGCTTTACAGTGTTCTCGGAGACGGGCAAAATGGCAGGGGTCTCGGATACAGACAGTCCATCTGCCAGGATGGTGGCGGCAGCAGGGCCCGCAGGGTCATGGCCACCCTGGGTTTCAAGATACAGGTCCTCCTTGGCTTCAAGCCCCGTTACAATGCTTTGGTCATCTAGCCCCTCCTCCAGGTACCCCCTGAACTCCTCCTCCTCTTCCTCCTCCTCCTCCCCAGATGCCGAGAAATGAATGGCGATGGTATCTCGGGACACGGACCTCTGCACGTGCACTTTGGGGGCTGATGGTTTTGGCATGTCAATGGTTTTCTCGGCATGGCGACCATTCAGACTTGTCATTGCCGGCTTCGTGAGGGCTTAGGCTCTGTGAAAAACATCAAGAAAAGCAGACGTCAGTGGCTTCTCCACAGGCGACAGGGCCACGTGCAGATCCAAGCCCGGACGAAGCTCAACTTAGAGGTGATTATGCTTTTACACGGCAGATGGCCATGGTTTCTTGCTTTGGAAGGTTCAATGGCTTAATTTTCACCAGATAAATTCCAGCTAGGCATTCTCTTTCATGAGCAAACCACACACCAGCGTTATAAATGCCAAACAATCTGTCTCACTCACAACTGCCGAAGAACCACTCCCTCCCTTTTAACTGGCTCATTTCGAGCAGCAATTCTCTACTGTGGGGCTCAAATGAAGCATCCTGGTGGGTTTAGGGCTCTTGGAATAAGAACGTCGCCAGTGGTGTTCCGCCTGTGAAGAGCTAACCCAGGAGGGTTGCTGCTTCCACTGTGGTTTTGCAGCAGCCCTAACGACGTGCCTCGGATCTCCCACAGCACCCACTGTCTCGCCATTGCAGGAAGTGGCCAAACATCCAAGTGGGGAGAACTAGACACTAACTACCATGACCTGCTGTTCTCAATGTCAAGTGCCATATGGCCAGGGCATTTAGGCAGCTATGATGAGACCTCAGGTAAAACAAGCGTCTAACTCAAATGGAAGAAAGCTGAGTGTCAATGCAGTAGCCTACCAGCAAGCATGAATGCTACTGGGGACTATGGAGAGACACGGGAGACAGGCTCTTTGCCCTTCTGGAGCTCAATAGCTAGGTGGAAGGAAGGCAGCCACCTGCAGGGCTGCTCAGTAGGACAGATAATGCCAAGTGCACCTGTGACATCTAGTTCATGACATCACTGTGCTTTTAAGGGGCAGCTGACTATGTAGCTCAAGCTGGCCTCAAATGCATGATCCTCCTGTGTAGTCTCCTAACTCTCAAATGCTAGAGACAGTGGTGAGGTCCCACACCTGGCTAATTACAAGCATCTTGCTGGGCACAAGGCACCAAGACAGGTCTCCCGAGCTGGACAGAGACGCCACCAGAAGAGCTAGGATATGGGGCAGACATCAGGAGTTCTGAGGACACAAGGCCAGGGTGAGACATTGGACACCTGTTCTGTCCCCTGAACTGGTGAGCAGTAGTGGCAGGGTGACCAACATGGACATGGTGTGACCCTAGGGCTGTTCTCTGCCTGCAGGACATGAGGAGGTAGTGGCGGGAGGTGACCCCAGGTACAAGAGAGGCATCATGGGCGAGTGGAAAGGGCATCCGCCTTGCACAGGGCAACAGGCCTTCTCATACTCATTCCTTCCCCAGGGGACTCTGAAGCTCGAGCAAGCCACAACTTGAACAAGCTACAACCTCCCGATTTCAGTATTATCAGAAACACGGAGGACCCAGGGAATTCTCCCAATGTAAAATCCTACTTGTTTATGCTCACGGGTGACTACATACACGGATAACAGCCTACCACAGGCCATCAATACTGCATTGCTTGTTTATTCCTACCTTTTTTTTTTTTTTTGGTTTTTCGAGACAAGGTTTCTCTGTGTAGCTTTGCGCCTTTCCTGGAACTCGCTTTGGAGACCAGGCTGGCCTCGAACTCACAGAGATCCGCCTGCCTCTGCCTCCTGAGTGCTGGGATTAAAGGCGTGCGCCGTCACTGCCCGGCGTTTATTCCTACCTTTAAATCTTCTGCCAAACACTACTGTTCCAAGTGCCAGCAACCGATACTACCAATAAAAGAACAGATGGAACCTGGTGTGGCTGGGGGGGGAAATGGTACTCCTAGAGCACCGTGGGGAGGGAACTAGCTAACGATGGCTAAGAGCACCAGAGCCAGGGCCCAGACACCACACGAGCACGTCATTTTCACCATCAAATCCATGATGTCTTTGCAACAGAGTTTTGCTCCGTTCTTCTACAACCTGCAGGCTCTCCTATGGGGTTGGATACAGGAAGAGAGAATCAACCACACACAGCAATCTACATCCAGCAATGGGCAACAGCTTGGAAATTCAGCCTCCAGGACAATTCCTCTCTGGTTTGTTTTGCTTGTAGAAAGGGTCTTGCTATTGTAGGCCTGGCTAGCCTGGAACTCATAATGTAGACCACACTGGCCTTGAATTCATGGAGATGTCTACATCTGCCTCCTGAGCACTGAGACTCAAGGCAGGCCACCTTCCCTGCTATCTTTACTTCAATAGGCCTGTTGGTTATAAAGAAAACAAGACAAAGCAGCCATGGAAACAATGAGAGGGCTTGGGGATTTAGCTCAGTGGTAGAGCGCTTGCCTAGCAAGTGCAAGGCCCTGGGTTCGGTCCTCAGCTCTGAAAAAAAGAAGGTCAAACAGCTCAGTTTCATTCAGTCCACCTAGCTTTGTAGGAATAATTCTAGATTTCTTTTAATTATATGCATGTGTATGGTTATGTGCACACATGGTATGTGGATGTTCATGTGGGTGCCCAAGAAAGCCAGAGGCATCAGATCCCCTGGAGTTGGAGTTACAGACATTTGTGAGTCACCTGATGGTGTGGATGCTGAGAATTGAACTGGGGACCTCTGCAAGAGCAGTCTGTGCTCTTTTTTTTTTTTTTTTTTTTTTTTTTTTTTTGCTTTTCAAGACAGGGTTTCTCTGTGCAGCTTTGCGCCTTTCCTGGAACTCACTTGGCAGTCCAGGCTGGCCTCGAACTCACAGAGATCCACCTGCCTCTGCCTCCCGAGTGCTGGGATTAAAGGTGTGCGCCACCACCGCCCGGCCAGTCTGTGCTCTTAACCACTGAGCCTTCTCTCCTGCCTCTCACGGGGTAATTTTAAAGGAAAATTATAGAGGTCATTTTAAAAGAAAGTTTGGTACTGGCTAATTCTCAGTAAGTTGCTTTGCTAACACCAACGGTAAACAAGGCTGTGCTGTTCTGAGGTTGCTTTCACAGGGAATGGTGGCTGCCAAGGGAAGGAAACTATGGGCACAAGGTGAGGACAAAGCATGCACTTTTGAGGTTGGTCTCCTAGGAAGCGGGACAAAGCGAAGAGGTCTAGCTGAAGCAGAAGGCCAGGCTAGGCGAAGCCCAAGGACATACGGCAAAGTATCAGTGGAGTCTGTGACCTCAACAACCCAGCCAGACTTAGGGACCCCTGCTCACAAAACTGCTGTTTTGTACCGAGACCACCAGGGGCCAACTTCCAGACTGACAGGGGCCCATGACCTGTCAAGTGAGAAGGATTTCTGATAATCTCTGATCAACCCGTCCCCAAGTTCCTATCAGTTGAGAAGGCCCGAGACAGGCCTCAGAGAACTGGATGCCAGGCCACCAGATGGGGCAGGCAGTCTGGCCAAGCACTTCAGAGGCTCATTGTAAACAGTGTCAAGTCCACACTGACCGAGCCTGGCTCCAATTCTTAGTCTCACTAAAGCAAGCCAGTGGAGGCTGGGGCACCACGGCCACTGTCCAAACACAAGGACACCTCTGCTGTTTGTTACTGAGGAGATGGACCTGGGCTTCTGCCCAGGGGCTAGTAGAGTCAAAGTGCCAGTTTGCCAGGATCAGCCCCTATTTCACTAGAGCCCAGGTCTAGGGGTTGCCAGTTCCTTAGGCTCATTATGAGACTAGGTGAGCAAAGGCTGCTTCTAAGGAGCCAAACCACTGGTAAACTGAGTATTCTAGAACCAGCCCATGGTTGGGGTTCTAGACATCCAATCAGGCCTCTTCAAGCTACCTCTTTTCTTGTCCTTCTTATGGTTGGCTCCAGGGCTCACAGAGCTGACTTCCCAGTCAGTCACAGTCTTTCAGGAGGAAAGTGCACCCAACTGACACTGGGAACATGGCGTGGTCTGCCCCAGCACTGATCAACCATCAAAGGGTTAGATGTGGCCTTCCGACACTCAGGTCTGGACACCCTTCCCACAGCAGCAAACAGCTCTTTTGTCTTGCTTTGTCCTGGCCACAGTAGCTACCCTCTGTGCTCCATCACGATGTTTCCCCATGAGCCAAGAGTTCAGTTCTGGATCAGCAGCATGTGACCAGCTGCACTGAGAAATGAAAGGCCTCCTTATCCATCCCACAATCTAGCATCATAAAAAATGCCAAGCCTCGTGCCCTCTACTGCTAAAACTCAATTATACCCAGGCTTTAAAAAAAAAAAAAAAAAAAAAAAAAAAAAAAAACAGAAAACCTTCAGCCTCAGAAGCTGAAATGCCAATGTAGATTGCCTTGCCTGCTCATCTCCTTCCAAAGCCACCAGCAGACCTCAAGATGTTGGAGTCTTGCACTGACTTCTGCATGTAGTGTGAAGTGGATCTTTAGATTTGAAAACTAACCTTGTCACCAGGCTCCCTTAGGGACACTATCCTGACAGTAATATGTTGAAGCAAATCTGATATGATCACAGTGTGCTGCAGACTGTGTCCAGCACCAGGAGGGCCCAGAGGCAAGGTGGAGGGCCGGGCAGTGCCTGGTGTCTGCAAAGGCTGTTGCACTCTTCAGCCCCCACCCTGCTGGCCACACGAATACAATACACACACACATTTAAATCCGCTGAGAAGCTGACACATCTGCAACTGACCAAGGAATAACTGGGAGAAAACCAAGGGGGGGGGGGGGGACTAGAAAAAAAATGGGCCCTAGAGGGGTTGGAGAGATGGCTCAGTGATTAAGAGCACTGACTGTTCTTCCAGAGGACCAGGGTTCAATTCCCAGCACCCACATGGCCACTCACAACTGTTTGTAATTCCAGTTCCAGAGGACCTGGCACCCACAGCAAAATACCAATGCACGTAAAATAAAAATAAAATTAAAAAAAGAAAGAAATGAGCCCTAGAGGAGTTCATTCCGCCACCCCCCTCCCCCCCACCCCTCCACCCCCAGTCATGGCTATCCTGGAGAACTGGCACTTTCTTCTCTTATCTTTTCACAGTGTGTGTGTGTGTGTGTGTGTGTGTGTGTGTGTGTGTGTGTGTACTTGTCCTCTCTCCTGCTGTCATGTTCGTCCCGGGGAGGGATCTCAGGTCGAGTGTCAGGATCAGCAGTTGTAAAGTA